CTGAGACTATGTACCAGGGGCTTCATACCCCACCCCAATGTGGCCCAGAATAAAGAGATGCCCAGGACTCACCCTATGTCTGAGCTGCAGCCAGGGAAGCAGATGCCTGCTCCTGGAAGTGGGCACACACCCCTCTCCAGCTTGGGACTGTCCGGTGAGCATCTCTGTGGTTGGGATAGTTCAGCTCCCTCCTCCCTCTGCTCTCTTCTTTCCAATGAGCTCATCTGTCTGGGGCTCCCCATCCCCCTTTGAAAGGATGCTTGGGCAGAACCTGGCAGAAAACAGAAGAGGAAGGGAGAACGGAGGAGGTCTGCCTACCTGTCTGTGCCCAGAGCCCCTAGAAAGTTACTCTAAGTGAGAGGAAAGGAAGGAGCCTCCCTGGGAGGAGGGTTCAGAAAGAGTCTATGTTTACACCAACTTCCTGATGCCAGGGGGGCTCTGGGGAGCCAGGGCGAGGCTGAAGTGGCCATGCAGTGTTCCTTACTAGACTGCTAAGCCACATGCCTGCCGCTTGGTTTGGTGCATACTCTCCTGTTAACCCCCTCAGCACCTGCCCAACTTCACTAAAACGGAGACTGTGGCTGGGGGTCAGTGGGCCCTCTGAGCTGGAACAGGGGATGGTGAGTAGAGAGGGACAGAGAACAGACCTAGGTGTGCTAGAAGGAGGATCCCCAACATTGGTCCAGGTAGTGTCCGTCCAATCCCGACCTGAGTAGCAGAGGATTTGCAGGCAGTTAATTCAATGCAGAGAATCTGGAGCCTGCGGTTTCACTGTTCTGAGACTGGGGCTCTGTTTACAAGAGGAGGGTAGGTGAGGTGCAGGGGTGACTCTTGGTGTTGATCGGAGGCTGGAGACGAGGTGGGGGTGTGGAAGAGTACTCTGCAGAGCCATTTCCTCTGGCTCCAGGAGCCTAGTCAGCGCCACCAAGCTGCCTGGTTACCTGCAATGCCCCGACAGGAGCGCGAGGGTTTCTGGGGGAGGAGGCGGGAGAGGGAGGCAGCGGGCAAGGGCAAGGGGGGAGTCAGAGGGGGAGGAGGTTCCCTGCCAGGTTCCTGCTACTTAGGAGGAACTCCTCTCAAAATAGCTCTGGAGACCTCATCCAGCTCTCTGCTTCCCTTCCCCCCTGCATGGGGTCTTGGTGGCTTGCTGAGAGCTGACAGGGGAAGGGGCCTTCCATCTTCCTGCCCTGGTCACCTGTAGAAAGTCAGTGCCTTCTGGTGTAACAGCAACTCTGGCAGCTGGAGCTCTGCCCCCATGAAAACCCACCCGACCTCTGACCCTACACTGACTCCCCTCTAAGCTGCCTCCCACTTAGAAAACAGCAATGCCATCTCCTTCGCCTCCCTCCCTCAGCCCTGCCCTCATCTAGCCCCCAAGAGGACAGGGGAGGAAGCAACCAGCTGCTTCTGTTGCCTGGTCTCAGAGAAGACTGTTGTGCTAACTGTGCCCTACCTGAATCCCCAAGGAAACCACCTCCTCCCTCTTAAATCTAGGCTCTGTCTCCACCAGCCTGAGACAGTTCTCTGGTAGATTGTTGGCAAGGGCCCAATCCACCTCTGCATTCCTGAAAACTTGCTCTTTAAGGTATTTCTGAGCCAGGCCACCCAGACTTGAGTGCATTACCCCACCCCCAGGAGTCAGGCCCCAGGAATAGGGGCTACAGCCACAGGACCTGTCCCCACACATCACTCCTGCAAAGTCTAGAAGACTTTTCAGCAGGAGCCAAGGTGCTTCACCCTCTGCCCTATCCAATGACTAGGGGCTCTTGAGCTGGGTGAAGAGAGGCTCAATTCAGGAGTACTCATCAAGGGTTTTCCAAAGGACGAAAGAGGGACTTCTGACCTTTGTCACCCTCTCCCTTGGCATCCTTAGGAGTAGCCTCTTAGCTAGATCAACGAACTAGATTTCTGCTTTTTTGGTACTGGGGATTGAACCTAGGGGAGCTTAACCACAGAGCCACATCCCAGCCCTTATTTATTTATTTGTTTATTTATTTGAGACAGCGGCTCACTAAGTTGCTTAGGGAATCGCTAAATTGCTGAGCTGTCTTTGAACTCACAATCCTCCTATCTCAGCCTCCTGACCGTTGGGATTACAGGCATGTGCCACCGTGCCTGGCTAATGGACTAGGTTTCTGAGAATTTTTGAGGAAAGTGCTCTATAAATTAAGAATCCTCTAGCCGCTAATGCATCTCCCAATCACTTTTCTTTGCCCAGCTGCAGAGCTTTTCTGGTGTTCTTTAGAAGAAAGTTGGGGGTGTGGAGTGGGGAAACCGAATGAATAATGGTGGAGGCGCCAATCCTGGGTTTATCAGGAATTTCCTAGGTGCCCTTAGGCCACATATTCCACCTCTCTGGGCCTATCTCTTCATCTGTGAGGTTTGGGGGTTTCCTAAGTACTCTTCCAGCCCTAAGAACCAGAGAAGGGAGACAGGAGGGAAGGTGGGGAAGAGGGCACTGCAGGAAACTGGCAACTGTTTTCAGCCACCAGGATCTAAAGATATCTCTGGAGCTCTGTTTCTCTACCCCCCTTCTCCGGGCAGGGTCACTTTCCTTCCCCTTGGCTCACCTCTTCTCTTACCTCAGCCTACTGCTCTGAGAAACACGACGCTGTTGTAAAAATAAAGCCAGCAGCGTGGATGCCTGCCGGTCAATGTAGTTTGGGGACCTCCGGGGGAAGCAGAGGGCAGGCCTGCTGACCTGGACATGGCTTCCCCTTTTGGGGCCACAGACCTCTTTGAGTTCAAATGTGCTGTGCACTGTGCCTAACATTCTGCTAAGCTCTTCTCCGACGAGCAGTGACATCACATTAAGTCTTCACAGCCAGGTCCACTTCTGAGGTTTTGGAGGCTTGGGGCAAGAGTTGCAAATGGAAATGTAAATTAGGATAATAAAGTGTTAAAATTTATCTTTTCTTCTTTGTCTTTTCGTTCATGATAGCCTGGAAGATCAGTACTAAAATGAGATTTTCAGACAATTTTGCTCACTCGTTCTTAGGGCTGGAAGAGTCCTTAGGAAACCCTCAAACCTCACAGATGAAGAGATGCGCCTAGAGATGTGGCCCAAGGTTACCTAGAAAGTTCCTAGTAAATTTACCTAGTAAATCCAGGGTTGGAGCTCCCTTCCCCATTGTTTGGTTTCCTATTCCACACACCCCTCTTCCCCAGGTCCTGAAACAACAGGATGTTGTGCATGCTTGGGAAGGCTCCACTTGCAAGCCAGAGTCCTTCCATTCCCCATGACTTGCAAACAGTTGTCCCTTGACCACTTCCTGGGTATCTGGGTGCATGTATGCCTGGTAGAGTCAGCTTTCAGAGGACAGATGGACCTGGGAAAGAGATCTGCTCAGGGTATTTAAAGAGCAAATTCCAGAGTCCTGGATCCTTGAAACAATCTAGAAGGGGAGGAGCTACATGTCCACCACCCTGTGTTCTCAAGGATTTATTGTTCAATGAGGAGGGGCATAGCCAGAGGAGAGTCAGCATGAGGTCCTCCAAAATCTGGAGTCCAGGGCTGAGGGTCAGATTTCTCTTGACAATCCTACCAGATAAGTATCTTGTGTTCACCACCTTGCAGGTGTGGAGCAAAGTCTTCTCCAGAAGATTGGATGAGTGTACTTCGTAACTGTGAGGCTGTCAGAGTCACTGTACCACCATACTACCGCAACAGTGATGCTGAAGAAGGAAGCAAAACCGCAAAATTCACACAGATATTTATCATTTTGCATACAACCCATGGGTTCCTGATGTCTCTGAAAATTACCAAGGACCCCCCAGGTTGAAAAGGTGGGTGGTCGGTTGAGGATGCTGTGGTGTGCTTGCAGCAAGGGCCAGAACCCGAAAGGTGTGGAGGCTCCAGGTTTTTAAGTCTGCACCTGTCTCCAGATAGCAAAGAGGATACATACTGGAGGTTTGGATGGCTGGGCAGGGGTGCTGAGGAAGACACCCACCACAGAGAGCACTGCTTAATTTTAACTCAGAACTGTACCGGGGAAAATCCCCGCTGGTTCCAAGTGTCACCTTAGCCCTCTGACCTAGTAGTGACCCTGGGGTCCTCCACTCCCACCTCAAGAAGAAGGCAAAATGGACTCTCTGTGGATTGGGTTCAGAAGGAAACTAGGAAGCTTTTGGAGGAAGGTGACTAATGGGGTAGGGATGCTGTGGGTGGGTAAAGGGGTGTGCTGGCCACAGATCAGACGGGGATGGATGGGTAGCATCTGGCCACCTCTATCACCAGGATCTCTCTCACGGTGATTTCCAAGGAGTCTATGAAGAAATGAGGGAGTTGGTGGGCAGTGGGCAGGGGCCCTTTTCCATGGGAAGAAATGGATTTTTGGCGGTCCAAAGCAACTCGAGGAGCGGATGAGCAGCGTGGTTGAAGACAGTGGGCGCGGGTCCTAGGGTTGCACGCGCGCCGCGTCCGTCCAGCAGACACGGAGGCGCGGCTGCAGTGGGCAAGCCGGCACACGCCCACCGGCTGCTGCAGCGCCCGCTGCGGACAATCTAGTGGTCCCTCGGCAGTCCCGGGAGAGAGAATCTACCATACCTGGACTCCCCAAGCAGAACAAAACAGCCTTCCAACAAACGAAAAGCTCCACCACTACTCCCCCTAAACTATGCTCCTAATTGGCAGATCGACTCATGGGATGATGCGGGAGGCTGCGGACCGGCCCTGCAGTGCCAAGCTGCACAGCCTAGCCCGACTGGAGAGGAAACTGGGTGCTCAGCCTGGTCCTGGGGCTCCAGGACCACGAAACGGGGAGCGCGGGGCAGGGTACGCGGCAGGCGGGGGTGCCCTGGGCTCCGCCGCGGCCACCGCCCCTCCTGCGGCTGGAGCGCTTCCAGAGCAGAGGCGCAGCCTCCCTAGCCGCGGCTCTCGCTCAGTCGTCCTCCCCCTCCTGCTCCGGCTCCTCCTCCTCCTTCGCTTCAGCCCCGGCTCCCGCAGCCCGCTCCAGGAGGCGGGCGAGCGCGCCTCCCTCTTCTTTTCCTTTCCCCTCCTCCGCTCTCTGCCAGCTAACTTTTCCCGAGCCCCGACCCGCGGCGCAGAGCTCCCAGGCAGCTGCGGGGCCGACTGCCGACCTCGGGCAGAGAGCGCGGTGGTGCCCAGTATCCCATCCCTGCGCCCTCGGCGCGCTCCGGAGAGAACAGGACCATGTCCCGGGCTGGAGACCGAGGCAAAGCCCTGGCGAGATGGCTGGGCACTGGGCTTTTGGGTAAGGCAGCCCCAGCTTGGTCTCTTCTCTCGTTTCTTCCTTCCCCCACCCCACCCAGAGGAGGGGACACTGGAGAAGAGGGGTGCCTTGGATAGGGTGGGTGTTGGAGCGCTGCACAGAATGAGTACGGTGGCCACCCTTTTCCCGCCGGTCGCCTGGATTTGAGGCTGTGCTCTCTGGGGACCGTACGTCTCCCCCCACCCCCCGCAACAGCCCATCAGCCCGTCAGCCTCGCGATGAGTTTTTTTTTTTTTTTCCTTCCCTGTCTCTGGCGCTTTCAGCTCCAGGCTTTTGGAGCTGAGTATTGAGACTGCAGCGGGGCTCTCCGGAGTTCAGAGGCTCAGGCATGCTACGGGAGGGGGTCTGTGCCTTGGGTGTAGGGGATGCCAGGTGGGTTGTGGGTGTGATTGTTGGGATGGTGCTTTCCACTCCTGCTCAGAGCGGTTTGCGTGTTTCCCAGGCATCAGGCATGCTACGGGGGCCAGGGGGATCTCCTTCCTCCCAGGCCTTTTTTTTTTTCCTCCCCTCAGGTTCCCCCGCTCTGTTCCTGAGCTACTGCTTTCCCCACAGCTCCACACCAGGTGCTGGAAGAGCTTGGAAGGATTTGGAGGACCGTTCAAAAGCCACCTTTTAGGGAGGGCCTTGTCTCTTTTCCTGTTAAGAGATTCTGTAGTGAGGACCTGTTTATCCTGCTCCTGGATCTTCATTTTTGGGTGACTATGAAGATTAAGGGGACATGCCAGAGGACACAGAGGGAATGGAGTATTATAAATATCTATTAATATGCACATGATAGTTTTGAGGGTCAAACTCCAGGAGATTGGGGGATGATATTTATTAGCCGAGTGTAATCTCCTCATAAATCATAGTTGGACTTCAATGTAAGCTGACTCCATCTCTGGCACCTGTACCCCTTCCTGTTTATATTTCTCAGATTTGGCTTTGGGCAGCTCTCCCCTCCCCATTGGGTCAGGCACATGATAGAGGTATTTGTGCTGAAAACTGGGGACAGAAACCTCCAAGGGAAGCTGCTACTGTTTCTGCATCTGTAAACTGCATCCAGCTGTTATGTCAGTACCTCTAGGTGGAGGGAGCCAGAGGATATCTTTACTCAGGAGCCACTGGATAATTGACATCCCTGAAGCTGGATGGAAGCCACTATGGCTTATTTACATCCCTGCAGTTGGACAGAAGACCTTTGGTACAGATGTCATGTGGGTTTCAGAGGGACCCTAATGAAGTGAGCTTCTGGCACCTGAGGCTTCTCTTCATGGGGTGGGCAGAGTGCCACTTCACACAAATTCCTCCTCATCCCCTCTCAGATCAGCCCAGGTTCCCACTGTGGCTATGGCAGGGGTAATGAGACATTGGTCACTGAGACATTGGAACTCTTCCAGTCGCCAAATTACCCCCACATTATGTTGTGAGCTTCTATGCCTCCTGTGCTTGGTTGGTGGTGGGATGCCAGGCCTAGGACTATTAGAATGTTCATAAAACTAGGCTTCGGTGGGCAATCAGGAGACCTGGGAACTGTGTGTTTGCACATGTGTGAGCGAGCGCGTGCGTGGCTGGGAATGGGGGAAATGAGGCTGAATCTTGTATACTTCTCCAGGTGGAAGCCCCACTTCCTCCAAGGACTGTGGAGGCCAGCAGGCCCCACCAACTGTGCCCCCTGCCTCTCTGCTTTGCAGAGGGACTTCAAACAGGGTCTCCCTTTGAGCTTTCCCAAGCAGTTACTGATTGAACCCTCACAGACACATTGCTCTGAGTTTGAGACTGTGGACATCCATGCTGTGGGTCCTGTGGGGGAGATGCTGAGAGGACTGGATAGCCGAGCTGTAGCAATTGCCTGGGTGCATCAGAGCAGGCAGGACCTTTGGAAACCATAGCATGGAACTCTTCTGGGGATGAGGAAGCCGTGGTTCAGAAAGGGTTGGTGATTTGCTCAAGGCTGCAGTCAATGAATGGTCCAATGGGACAGAATCCAGCCTCTTGGGCTTTGGCCCACCAAGCTGCCTCCCTTTATCAGAATTATGGTGAGGGGGAAGGTCAGTAGGCATTGGGCTTTGGGCTGAGGAAAAGCGAGGCTCTGGAGCATGGCATAGAAGGATGAAGGTTTGGGGGACCCAGAACTACTGTTTTCACAGCAGGGGACATTGGGTCCAGAGCGGTCAATTCCTGGGAGTCCTCTTCCCCTTTCCCCATACCAAACTCAGTGCCATAGGCTGAGACTACAGTGAGTTTGGACAACCCAGCAAGATGCCCTTTGTTAAAGTAGAAGCAGTTTCCAAGGCCATATCATTGTGGTTGAGGTTTATGTGGGTTCCAGACGTTTCCTAAGCATATAACTGGTAATATATCTGTCCTGCTCACCCCTTCCTTGTTCCCTGATTTGCTTAATTGCTGTGATCTGTGTTTAATTATCACTTGTGAGAGTGCTGTGTTGCACAACCCTCTTTCCCTTGGTATGTATTTATTAAGGGCTTGTTTAATGAGAATGCAATTAAGAAGAGGGTGTTCATTCCCACTCAGAGGAAGAAAATGGCAAGGGGAAGCCAGGGTTCCTGGAGAAGAGGAGAGGCAAGGGGAGCAGTGGAGGAAGAAGATGGGTTTGGATCTGGAAAGGATGGTTGATTCTCTTTCTAAATCTTCTGGAGGCACAGACCTGTGGGGACAAGAGAAGCCTTTCTGATTGGCCACTGCCTGGTGGGATCAGCATCTGGGTAGATTCTGGGCTCAGAGAACCACCTTGCTCTGTGGCTGGTCATTGAGGGGAGGTAGGAGATATCTGCATAAGCCATGGATGGTCTGGGCCAACACACTGGTCTATAAGAGGTGGGACACGCACACTGTCTGGACTTGTTTGCAAAGCTGGTTTCCGCGGAGCATCCACTGTCGTCTCAGGGGCATGCTTCTATCCTGGCAAAGCTCTTGGGGGTGGGCAGGAAGCAGGCAGGTTGCCTAGGGCAAGGGAGCTGTAATTTTTCCTATGTCTCTGGGCCCAAGGGCTTTGCCTGGCCCAGCCTTGCCTCCACAGCCCCCAGGGCCTCCCCCTCAGGAGGGGTCCTGTCCTGCTGTCCTCGGCCCATTTTCTGCCTCCCAGCTCTCACTCTGAGCCTCTCTGACTCCCCTAGGTTTAGAGTGTCTCAGCTGAATTTCCGCCCGCCATGCCAGCTAAGCCTCAGAGCTAAACTTAGAGTGGGCACCATGTTGTCCTCTTTCTTCCCCCTGACCCGAGAAGGGGGGTGTTACTGATCCCTGGATGTGGGGAAAGGGGGCAGAATATTTCCTGCCTGCCATTTGCTTTGGTCTGTAAGGTTGTTGCCATGAGAGTCCCGCTGGTGTGAATATTTAGTATGCTGAATACTTTTTTACTTTAATAAAACTTGAAAATCCAGACAAAGCAGCTCAGGATCAGAAAGAGGCTCCCACTCCCAAACACACATGTGCACCTTGACATTCTAAAGTATCACATTTAGGATGAAGCAAAGAAAGTCCTTTACTTCAGGGAAACAGCCGCATGGAAATAATCCAAGCTGTGGTCCGTGGTGAAGGTGTAGATCAATGTGTGAGTAGCCTGGAGACATTCTTGGCTGACACTGGTCATTAAGGGAAGCTAGGAGTGCCCTGGTTATACCCAAGTCTAAGATGGGGACAACCGTGCCCCCTCTCCACATTCAAACACCGTTCTCTTCTCTCTGTGGGGTGCCTACTCACTCAAACCCTTCTTGTGTTTTAAAATCTCTGTTTTGGCTTCACACCAAGTTCAGGAGGTAGGAAAGTTTATAGGCATCCTTTGCGGTGGAGTTTAGGGATGGGCATGCTGGATGTGGTACTTCTGATTTTCTCAAGGTCAAGAGGGAGAGTGGGCCTGCGTGGTGTCTGCTGACCAGTCCTCCCCTGGCCTGGTCAATCTGCTGGAGCAGCCCTCTGAGAGGCCTCAGGGGAATCATGCACCCTTCTTCTCTCTTATCCCTGCAGCACAGCCTCACAGGTGACACCCTGCTGGGAGAGCTGGATGGTGGATGCCTTAACCTGGGTGGGGCCCTGGACTCAGTGGAAGCCATCTCTGCTTCTTTCCCTCACCCCCACCCCCAGACTAAGGAGGAATGGCAGTGTTTTCCTCCTAGAGTTCTGAGTGTGTTAGACTTAAGTCATCCATATCAGGTAGAAATGCACACTGTGTTGTGAGCCAGACCTTAAAGCAATAGTGTCTTCTATATTGAACCTTTCTTTTGCTCCATTTTGCTTCCATTTAGAGCAGCCCAAAGCATTTCCCTTTTGATTGCGTCTTTTGTGCTCTTGAATACCTGGCCAGGATTGGGGAGGGGTTTGAGTTCTCACATCTTTTCCATTACCCAGGTTTTCGGGCCTGAGTGCCAATGAACATTGGAGTGGGACCTGCGGCCCCCTTGGAGTCCCAAGGAAACCCTGTAGCTAGCAGGAATCTAGCTGTTTTTCTCCTGAGCCTTGTGGAGGCTGTTGGAGGGGTGAGGAGCAGAGGTGTGTGTGTGTGTGTGTGGGGGGGGGGGTCTCCGGCTAGAAAGCCATCCTCTGGTGTTGGCCCCAGACAAGAGGGTGGAATCTTGTGTCTGGTTCCTGCCCCGCCCCCACTCACTTCTGGAGGTGGGGGAGTGGGAATAGGGGAGGGTAAAAGGGAGGGAAACCCAGGAGCTCCAAGGAACTCTAAGCCCTGACAACTGCTCTTTTCGAGATGTGAAAAGCAGACATATTTCTGAAAGTTGTTTGTCTACTTCCTGGGTGTGTGGTTTTGGCAAGTTAATCTTTTTGAACCCATTCTTCATTTGTTTATTAGGAATAAAAATAATGACTACCTTATAGTATTATCTTTTTTTTTTTTTTTTTCTGGTGCTGGGGATTTGAACCCAGGGCCTTGTGCATGTGAGGCAAGCACTCTTATCAATTGAATTATATCTCCAGCCCATGAATACCTTATGGGATTATTAAAGGATTAAATGGGACACTATATAAAAACATCTATCCTGTAGTACAGTAAGTGTTCAGTTCCAGGTTGGCCACTTACCATTTGGCCCCTGGGCAAGTCACTACTCTCTGAGCCTCAATTTTAATTATCTGTAAAATGAGAAAAAAATTATACCTACCTTTTGACATCCTAATAAAAGTTGTGGTTAATACAGTATAAGTCCTCTAGCACAGTGCTTCTCAAAGTGTGGTCCACACCCATGGCATTAGCTGGGATGCTCTGAAGAGATGCCAACTGTGTGGCACCACAGAAGACCTACAGAATCAGTAGCTCCAGGGCCCTGCTGACTTTCTGCCCTCCAGGTGATTCTGATTCCTTTCAATTTGCAAACTACTGTTCTGAAACAATTCCTGGCACACAGGAGCTGACCAAAAAAATGACAGTTAATTGAAATAACATCCCAGCACTAATTGGAGTCCTGGTGGGCAAACCTGGCTATTTTAGGATGCAAGGAGGAATTTTCCTGCTTTGGAACTATGGGATGGTGGCAGTGTCTCTCTCCTTGACCTTAGATAAGTTACCCAACTTTTGGAGTCTCTATTGTTTCATTTTGAATATGGATCTATAATAGTATATACCATTCAAAGGAGAGGAGTGAGGGTGGAAAGTGCCAGGCGCATAATAAATGCTCAATAAATATTAGCTATTACTGCTATTATTGACAGTGGCAGGGGTCGTGATTGGGTTACTGGGCCATGGGTGTAATTTCTGAACTGGTGGGGTACAAGGACTCCACTGTGTTGCCAGAAGCAAAAGGGACACGAAAATGAGTGGACCTTTTGAGATCAGGAGCAGGGCTGCCAGCTCTCCTTGGAGCCCCTTCGCCGTCATTTAGAAAGCATTGTTCAAAAATACCAAGAACATCATACTCTCCTGTGGGCAAAACAAGAGGAAACTGAAGTGTGATGCGGCAGGAGTTGTCTAACTTAATTCCTAAAGTCCTCCTGAGAGTTAGGGTGGGAGAAAACACTCGTTTCGCCCCTAGGGGCAGGAAGAGTTATGCGTCCAGCTGCGGATCCCCTTTCCCCAACGACCTTGAGAGCGGGGTTTCCTAGAGAAATGTGCAGGGCGGGAGGGGGGCCAGGTGCCCTTACAAGGATTCAGGAGGAGGGATCCCGGCCGCTAGTGGAGTCGCCTCTCAGGGGCGTTTGGACGCACTGCGACTGCGGAGGGATTGTGCAGAACTTTGGGGTCATCGCGGCTGTTCCGGGATGAGGGGCCGAGCGTGGCTGCAGGGTGTGGCGGGGAGGGAGGCCCCGCTTCTCTGGAGGGGGAGGGAACAGCAGGTCACCCGAGGCTACCCCGCTTGCAGGCGTGCATTTCAGTGCCTCGGGAATCTGCCTCCACAGCGTCTCTACCCTCTTACTTTTCTCTCCATCTTTGCTCTACTCGCTCCGCCCTCGCTGCTGCCCATTTCCAAGCTGTGCGCGCCCCGCCATCCCGCTCGGTCCATCATCCTTCTGTTAGGATCTCGTTCGATGGACAGAAAGCGCTGGCCTCAGATGATCAAGCAAGGTCCGGCCCAAAGATGTCTCTCTTAGATCCAGGGCTGGGTGATGAGAGGCTGCAGGACAGTTGCGGGGACAACGGCGACTGCTTTTTCCTTCTTCTCGTTATCCTATCCCGCTCTCCCCTACCCCCAGATTCCGCAAACACAACGAGGTGCACCGTCCTAGGGCAATTCCCAGGCATGCAGTAGGGCGCACCGCCCGCGGTCCCTGGGCACTTTCGGGGACTGCGTCTCTAAGTGAGGGGGCGGGGCGGGGGCGAGGATTCCCCGGCAAAACGGCCGACCCTCCTTTTCTTGGGTTGGGGTGACCCCTGGTGGTCAATTAGAGTGTCACACGAGGTACTAAGGGCCCAGAATTCAGTCCCATCTACGTGAGCCATTTCAATTGGAGTAAAAAGAATCATTCTAGTGAAGCTGACACTGAGGGTGACAGAGGCCTCCCTTCCTGGCTAAGCCACTCTGCCCAGCCTGAGGATCCGCTTCCAATGCAGAGTGTACTCCTTACACAGGTCTCCTCCTGCTCCCCATGTCCCTGTCACTGGAGGTGTCTGTGGGAAAGGCCACTACCATCTATGCTGTCAATGGCACGGAGATCCTGCTGCCCTGCACCTTCTCCAGCTGCTTTGGCTTCGAGAACCTCCGCTTCTGGTGGACCTACAATAGCACTGATATATTCAAGCTTGTAAGTGGTGTAGGGACAGTCAGGACAGTCCAGTCTCTCCTTCCCTTCTCTATCGCTCACTTCCCATCCCAGACTATGGTCGTTCTGGGCTGAGCCCCACTATGATGGTCCCCAGAGCCCAACTTTTGTTACCCCTTTTTCCAGATTTCTTCCAGACAGACTCTGGGCGGGAGGGACGTTTAGATGGTGGGACCAGAATTTTGGGTCTGTTAGAATTCTTGGCTAGAGTTGTCCGTCTGGTTTTATGAAATATCCATAATATGAATTGCTTGTGTAAAAATTGATAGTTTAATTTAAACAATAGGAGACTAAAAGACCATTGGAAGCCTTGGAGAGAGGGAATGAGACGAGAACGAACAAGGAAGGAGGTGGCTGGACTTGGAAGGGAAGGAGCGAGGAAACTGGGGTGGAGCAGGGGCTCTGGAGGAACAGTAATGGTGTGGGGTGAGGGGTGAATCAGCCGGCTGAGTTCTGTGCAGCCTGGCAGGGGACCTGGCCTCAGGCTGACCCAGGGAAGTGACATGTCTTCCTCTGGATGGAATTAAACACTGACCTTAGAGGGTGCTGAAGAACAGAGCTGTGGCCTTGACTTGGGTCTTGATGGAGGAGCAGAATTAAGTGAAGCAAGGGACTCAGTGTCAGAAAGACAGGGTGGGAAGTGCAGAGGGAAATGCATGCGGTATCTGCAGAGTCATTATGTAAAAGCTTTTATGAAGAGAGCAGTAAGAATGTGCTGCATTCCAAGGAGACCTTAATAAAAGGAACTGGGTTTGGCCCGAAACAGGCAGAATTCAGGTTTGACAGGCAGAGCTGTTGACTCTGGCAGAGGAAATTGGGAAGGTGAAACACCTCTCATGGGAGGCTCTTTCTGGACCTGGACAGGGAAGGCCCCCAAGGATGGGGCTGGAGTGATGTCATGACCCTTGATCACTCTGAATTTTTTGTGACCCAGCTCATAGATGGAACTGTGAAGAATGAGAAGTCCGACCCTAGGGTGAAGTTGAAAGGTGATGACCGCATCACTCTGGAGGGCACCACTAAGGAGAAGATGAACAACATTTCCATTCTGCTGAGGAGCCTGGAGTTCAGCGACACGGGCAAATATACCTGTCATGTGAAAAACCCCAAGGAGAATGACCTGCAGCACCAGGCCACCATCTTCCTCCAAGTTGTTGATAAATGTATGTAGTGGGGTTGGGATGAGGGCAGTGGAGTGGGAAGGGCTGGGGGTATCTCAGTGGTACAGTGAAATGGCACGGTGGCCTGCACTGGTGCTTTCTGTGACCTTACACTTTCAGGAGTTACTGGAGCCGCCTGGTGTGGTGGTGCACAGGGACTTGGGGGGCTGAGGCAAGAGCATTGGAAGTTGTAGGTCAGTTTCACTAGCTTATTGAGACCCTCAGAAACCCAATGAGACCCTGTCTCAAATAAAAAATAGAAAAAACTGGGGATGTAGCTAAGCGGTAAAGTGACCCTGGATTCAATTCCCAGTACAGGGGAAAAAAAAAAGTTACTGGAATTGTATCTGAGTTACATCCGGGAGTGTAAACACTTCTGCTACTGAGTGGCTTGTGAAATCACTTAGCCTCTTTGAACCTTTTTTTTTCTGGTCTGTAAAATGGGAATATGGCTGCATTCTGCTAGGGTTGTTGTGATGGCTGGAGGAACTATCTAGGAATGGGTAGTTAAGCTCTCTGTGTAAATGCTGATGACTGTTACTATTGTGTATTCTGTTAGCAAATATTGGTTGAATGTCAGGTATTGTATTAAAACATGTTATGGATGATACACAGTATACTTGAGGCATGTACAGTTCAGGGTAGGTCAGAGGACAAGAAAATGAATAACTGGAATGTGGCAGATGACTTATATACATCCATGGCAGCACCTATAATGGAGACAGAAGACATGGTCCCTGCCCTCTGGGAGCTTATCTCCTAGTAGGGAATTGCAGTCTGATGGTGGGTGGGCCAATTAGACAGTAAGGATGGATGTGATAAGGAGCCAGGTGGTCACAGGACCCTAAGGCTGGAGGTGTTTAGAGAATCAGGGAGTGATAAGCAGCAGGGGAGAAGCGAGGCTGGGCCTCACCCTGCGGAAGAGCCCGCAAAACTAGGGAGCCTCAGGAGCTGAGCACAGGGGAAGGGCAGCTACTCCAGGGCTCCAATTCTACTGCCTTTTGTGTGTCCCTGGGGGTCCCCTGCTCTCCTGGAGGACATGGAGTGCCTGGAGAGGGGGGACACCATGGGTTCAATATTGGCGTACCAAGGACACAGCCAGAGGCGATCTGGGGAGCCTTTTCGGAGCCTGGAGTCATCTGAGTGAGGTCTGGTATAGTGTCACCTCTTCCTCTCTGTCTGGGTTTCTGTCACTCTGCTTTGTGCTCAGCCTTTTTGGAGAGAGGAGAGGAGAAGGGGACCAACATTTATGGGGGCTTTCTGGGTGCCAGGCATTGAGTGAGAGCTCTCACTTACCTTCTCTTCTTTGCTCCTCACAAAGTCCCTTAAGGTCTCCCTTTTGAGTCATTCATCCACTCACAGGTGTGTACTGAGCACCCTCCATGTGGCAGATGATGTTGTAGATGCTCAAGGCCCAGCGGGAGAAGATGGGCACGTTCCTGCTCCTTGGGAAATTCCCTTCCCCTCCTGCCAGCAGAGGAGTGACTTAAAAAGAGAGATCCTCGGTGTTGGTGCTGCAGAGAAAGATAAAGCAGCAGGGCAGGTGGGGGGTTTGCAGGGTGGCCGAGGAAGGCCTCGCTGGCCAAAGTCTGAAGGAGGCAAGAGAGGACACCGTGAGGTTATCTTTGCCTAGAAAGAGGCAAGGAAATTCTCACATGACAATTTGGGGGTCAAGTTGTGGCTCAAACCTCAAATTCTGATTCATCCCAAACGTGTGTGTGAGTTTTGGGGAGGGTGTGCATGAGGAGGGTGAGGGGACAGGGTCCTATTGTTCCTTTTAGGATGGATGTTCCAGCTTCTCCTCTGTCCTGCTGTAGGCCTGGAGAGGGTCGGTGGCCTGTGGTGGGTGGTGCTGGCCCTGGCCCTCCATGGTGCTGGCTCCAGGTGACTCCTCCTCCCCCTCCCCGCCCTCCCCTCTCTGCTCTGGCCACACAGTGGAAGAAGTGGACAACACAGTGACACTCATCATCCTGGCCGTGGTGGGTGGAGTCATTGGACTCCTCATCTTCATCTTGCTGCTAAAGAAGTTCATCACTTTTGTCCTCAAGAAGACCCGGGAGAAAAAGTGAGTTGACCTCCCTGGCAGGCTCTGGGCCCCCAACTCACACCCCTCCCATCTCCTGCTCCTTTGATTTCGCCTTCATCTGCCCCTGGTAGCCGCAGCCTTCCTTCCGTCTCTTCATTCCACCCTCCCTTCCGAGTCCTACCACCACCTTTGCTAACCCTGCAACTGTCATCCCCCTCTCGGGGCTCTTCCCCATCCTCCCAGTCTGTATTAATGGAACACACTGGATCGTTATGTACATAAATACATGCTAAGTGTTTTCTTGCTAGGACACTGGTACACCAGGAGATTGCTACAGATTATAATTATAATTATAATTCATTCTATCATTCATCAAATGTCTACCACACTTTAAGTGCTCCACCAGGTATTTTATAGAGTACCTATCACTTTTTTTTTATAGATGAACAAAAGTGAGGTTCAGAGTAGTTAAGTGACATGACTAAGGCCACACAGCTAGTAAGTGAAAGAGATTTGAACTCTGACACATTTGGCTTCAACCCTAAAATTGTTGCCACCATGTCCTTCTTGCTCATTGAGTATCTCTAGAGTTGATTCATTCATTCTTTCACTTGGTGGCTATTTTTGAGGTACTGTGTGCAAGGCACTGTGCCAGGTGCTGTAAGACATTCTGGAAGGAACAATTCTGTCCTTTGGTGAAAGAGACAAGACGCATGCACAAGTAAATGTAATACCAGGCACAGAGGGGATGGATCCCAGCAAAAACAGGTGTTGTTGCAGAGTTTGGAAGAGGGTGATATTTGGGTATTGTTGTTGGTATAATTTCATCCCTGGGACAGTGAGGGGAAGGTGGCCCAGGTGGAGGAAGCATTGAGAGCAAAGGCAGAGCCGGGCAGTGGGCGCGTGTCTGGGGAGCAAGGCCTTTTCTGTCATAGTGGGGTTTTGGGTAAAGGAAAGGAGAAGAGTCTGTGAAGGGATTGAGGTCAGATCTTGGGGGCCTGGGAGCCCAGCTGCAAGTGGCTTCCCTCTGACGCCACTGGAGAACTGGTGAGGGCTTACAGGCCCCCAAGCCCCACTCCTCAAGATCAAAGGGTCTGGCCATGGGACAGAGAGACTGGGTGGGAGAGGCTGGGGGCCCTGGGTATAGGCCTCAGGGAAGCCTGAGAGGGTCCCTTGAACAGCAAGGAAAGGGACATTACAGTAAAAGTCCAGGAGAAACTTTGCATGAGTTCTTTCCATCCTCCAGGACTCTGCCGTGGACAAGGGGTAAACTGATATCAGAACCCGTCCAGCTCACGGCGGCCAGGGGTGAGGGTCCGGCCCTCAAGGTGTCTTCCTAGCTGACCACGTCTCCTTTCTCTGCCTTCTGTCCTGTCCCACCACCCTCTGCCCGACCTGCCATCCTTGAGGCCACACCCACGGCTGCTATGCCCCTGCCTTTGTTCACAGAGCTCAGGGAGAAGGGCCTGGTGGGACTGAGGGAAAGAGCTCTACGTCCTCAGAATATTCCTTGCTGGCCTGGACCCTCCCTCTGGGGTGGTACAGCCTGAACCTGACCCTCGTGACCCTTGTGGCCATGTTGAGACAAGGAGGTGGTGGCGAGGCCTTGTTGAGTCCATTTCCCCTTTTAGATATGCTTACTCCTCACAGCATCTCATGAAGAAGGTGTCAGGGTTCCATCTATTTTATAGACGAGGAAATCAAGGCATCGAGAGGCAGGTGACTTGGCCTCTGGTTTCCTTAGCTCTTAGAAGGTCAGAGACCGTGGCTCCCTCCCCAGTTCATCCCCTGTTCTGCTCACCTGTGCACCTCTCTCTCCCTCCCCAGGAAGGAGTGTCTTGTGAGTTCCTCCGGGAATGACAACACGGAGAACGGGTTGCCTGGCTCCAAGGCAGAAGAGAAACCACCCACAAAAGTCTGAGGCCCTGCTTCAGGCCAAGCAGCTGCAGGGGGCCTGGCTTTCTGATCCTGACACTGATGCTTGAGCCCGTCTGTCCGTCCGTCCGTAGAACCCACGTGCCTGAGACATCTGCTGCTTGGCTCAAACTGTAGTCCTCCCGGGCAGGGAGAAACCAGTGTCCTGCCCAGCCTGCCCCACACCCTCCCCAGCCAGGGCTTCCCAGGGACAAGGACTGGCCAGGGAAGGGGGCCTGTGGAAAGTTCAGGAAAGGGAAAGGCGGGGCTGGTCCCCCGACACCTGGGAAGATGGGGGCTCTTTCTGGCTCCCCCCACTGAGTGAGCAGGACCTTGATTTTCCTTCTGATTTCTCCTCAAGAGGGACTTGGGGGATCAGTGAACCTGCCCCCAAAACTGGACCTTGGAGCCTTGTGTGGGGAACAAACCCTTTTGGGTGGGAGGGGGCTAAAGGACTCTGGAGAAGGCCTTGGGGTGGGGGTGCTGCTGGAGGGGGGGGCCACAATATGAGGCAAACTTGATTTGGTGGGATAACTGGTCTCTCACAGACCCTGAAATGGGGAGCTCCCCTCCCCCCACCCTGGAGTGCCTGTCTGCCTTGTCCTGCTCCCTGTCCTGTCCCTAGCTCCGAGTTTCTAAGTCCTCTGAGTGAGAGTTGGCCATCTTGGTCTTGAGGGGTCCCAGCCCACCTAGCCTGTCCCTCTGCTCTCTGTGTTGTCATGGAGAGGCCCCTCCAGCCTTTCTGGAGCACTAGAGTGCTAACCTACATTTTTTCTAGCATTTTCCGGGGGGAATTGGGCTGCAGAGGTGGGCAAGCCAATGTCCTAGGCCTCTCGGCCATTGCAACGCCCACTCCAGCCCCACAATGCTGGCAGCCCTTGTCCTTGGCATGGCGGGACCATGGCCACCCTGAGCACTCCTGACTCCAGCTCCTCCCTGCTCCAACCCTTCCCCTGAAACAGCAGGTGATGTCATCTTGCTTGAGGGAGTTGTCCCCTTGAACCTCCATCTCATTGGCTTGCTCTTCCTGGCCCCCCATCACACCTTTGTCCCCCGTCCCCAGGATTGCTCATCCCCAGCCTTTGGTTTGCCTTGCCTCAGGGATTCTCTTCTTTGGATGAGAGAGCCCTGGAGTTTTCCAGGTGCTTTTTGCTCAGCTGGGCCACCCCAGTCCCACCCTGGGGCTGGGGAGGAGCAGGGAGAGGGCACCCACACTTTTCCTCTGCTTTTGGTAGAACTGGGTTTGCATACCCCTTGAGGGTGGGCTAGACTGTGCCTTAGCTCCTGGAGTCCCAGCTCCTATGCCCTCCCCTGAACTGTGCATTCTGGTGTGGTCCCCACCCTCTCCTTCCCAGTATCAATGAGGAGGCCATGAAGCTGGAGTTGTGTCATTGATATCAGTGACTGAGTCTTGGAGACGCCTGCCAGATGCTCCCATCCAGGACCCTGATGGCAAGATGTCATGATGGGGCCTCATGATTGTGTGGGGTCCCAGCCCCTCTCTCCCTTTTGGGCTGACACTCTGCTTCTGGGCCCATAGGAGGGGTGGAGAGAAGTAGACCTCGTTTTCCAGAGGACATGGGGGTGGCCTCAGGACTCTCCTGCCCAGAGGCAATCACCAGCGTCCCTGAGGATGGAACTTGGGAGGAATTTGAGGAGCAGCAGTACCTGCAGGATGCCCATGGCTGGGGCTAGTGTCCCTTGCCCAACCTGATGGGTTTGCAGATCCCCACTCTGAACTGCCCCCTCCCCTCCTTTCCTTCTTCAAGGACTGGGGGTCAGATTTCTTGGCTTTGGGGATAGATAGATCAGAGCCCCCAGACACTTAGAAAATTTCTTCCAGCTGCCTTCATGCAAAAACCACTGCTTTCTTCTCCCTTCCCAGTGTCAACATTTGAAGAGAGTGCCTGGGGAGCCTCTTGCTTTCTTGGGAGGAACCTCAGGCATAGAGCAGTGGAAAAGTTAGGGCAACCTCCTCTCCCCTCTTCTGGGTCTTCTGCTGACTTACAGGCAAGCCTCGCAGCTTCTCTGGGCTCAGCTTTTCCATCTATCCAGTGGGTGTAATACTACTTACCTACCTCACAGGACTGTCGTGGGACTTGGCAAGTTTTGTTTTAAAAATCTTTTTAGCTTGGAAAGGGATTTGGGAAGCAGTTTTATAATTGGAGGGATTGTTCCAAGTCTGTCATGTCCTCATCTTTGTGTCCCATCCCTACAACACACACACACACACACTCTTTCCACTCCTCCCCTTTGGAATTCTCTAGTCTTTTTAATGTTAGAAACCTTGACTCTGACTGAGGCCTGAAGCTTCTTGTCCATGGCTCTTGTTTGGTGGTTTCCAATAGAGATGATTGGGACTGTAAGGGGCATATTTCTCGCTATCCCAATGCCTGGGTCACTACTGGTTTTAGTGAGTGGGGTCTGAGAGTATTTAACTTAGTCTCCACATCAAAGAATGTCCTGTTTCAATCACAGCATTATGCCCCTCGAGAAGCATCTGAATGGATTTGCAATAGGGTGCCTATGGGCACAAGTAGATCCTAGCTACATGCAGGTCTCCAATGGTGGGTCAGAGCTGGTGAGGGTGTTCCCAGGGCTTGTGGGCTCGAGAGATCCGTTTGCAAAGTTGCTCTTGAGGACCCTGGGCACTGCCAGTGATGTCCGTGAGACCAAAGACAAAGTTCAGAACTCCTCATCCTTGACCTCAGATTAGGATGTGTGCAGTGGATGCCTTGGGTTTCCCACATGTCAGGATTAAACAGAAGGCAGTCAGAATGAACTTGTGATGCTAGAGACGCCTGGGAGAGGGGCTGATGAGGTACAGCTTTGCACACATCTGGCTGGCCAGCTCTTATGGAGCCCGGGCTTTGAGGGTGTGCTCCTGAGACGGTGCGGGGTGTGGGGGTACTCGTGTGTAGTGATGCACACTCATGCAAACCTGCCTGTGCAGGCAATGCAGGTGCGAAAGTGGGACCTTTAAAGGGGGCAGCTGTGCATGAAAGGGGTGGTGCGTGATGGGGGAGACACTGAAGATTTCAGGAGCCATTTTCCTGGCCAGAGCTGGAGGTTGAGAAAGAATAAGACATGGAGGGAAAGGCCAGCCATGCTCCTGGATCTCATCTCTCTGTGACTCCATCTCTGTTACAGCTGCCATCAGAGGGCTGGGGGGAGGGAGTGCCAAGAGTGGGGACTTCTGGGGAAAATCCTATGGCTTGCTGCATTTTACTTTGTCCCAGGTTGGAGTCCCTACCCTCCCACCTCTCACCTGATATGCAGTGCTTTCGACTATCTTATGCATGGTTTATTCCTCTGGCTTGGATGACAATACCCATAGTCAATTTCCTATATAACTTTATAGATCAAACGATGCAGTGGCGGGCCTTAGGAGCCCCAGGGTCCAAGGGTGCCTCTGGGAGGCACAGATGTGCACACACCCTGCACTGACTCGTGTTCAAGCACAGAATGGACGTGATCAGACTGTCTTGCCTCTACAACATGTTTTGCATTATAGAATTATATTTAGCTTTGCCTTGGATGAAATAAAAATTATATTTAATACTTGGGGTTTGGAGTTTCCATTTTTGACTAATTAAGAATTGTGTTCCTGTTTTCTTTCTTTTTTCTTTTTCTTTTTTTTGTACTGGGGATTCAACCCAGGGGCTCTTAACCACTGAGCCACATCCCCAGCCCTTTTTAAAATATTTTATTTAGAGACAGGCTCTCTCTGAGTTGCTTAGAGCCTTGCTTAGTTGCTGAGGCTGGCTTTGAACTCACGATCCTCCTGCTTCAGCCTCCTGAGCCACCGGGATTACAGGGGTGTGCCACCACACCTGGCCTGTTTTATTTCTTGCCAGCTGTAATTAGGAAGATCACCTTCTCTGAGCCTCAGTCTGCTTATGTCTAAAACATTACCTGTCTAGGTGAGATAACACATGTAAAAGGCCTAGGGTTTCTGGCGTATTCACAGACATTCAGGTTGTTTTAGTTCTGGCACTTTCTCTGCAGAAGCTGGAAAGTTGTCCTTCTCATATTGGACTTGATGCCAGGGCCCTCCCTGTGTGCTGATGCATCTACTACCACCAAATGCCACAACATCCTCTTTCCCAGGCTCCTCTCCCCTCACCAAGTTTAGCATTTGCCTCCAGGTAGAATCTGCTGCAAATGAACACCTGCCTTCAGAAAGGAATTTCTAGCTGCTGGGCGTAAGTCCAGACTGGGAAGGAGCTAGGGGTGCAGTAAGCTCCCTTATATGCAATGGTTGTGTTCCAAGATCTCCAGTGGATGCCTGGAATTGCAGGTAGTACAGAATTTTATATATGCTGCATTTTTTGCTATACATACATATACACCTATGGTAAAGTTTAGTGTACCAATAAGAGATTAACAAACACAATAATAAAATGAACAATTATAATGATACTGTAATAAATGTTATATAAATGTGAACCAAGAACCAAGACAAATATTAGTTTTGTTTTGTTTTGGCACTGTAGATTGAACTCTGAAGTCTTGAAAACTGAGCTGCATTCCCAGTGCTTTTTACTTTTTTTGAACTTTGAGATAGGGTCTCTCTAAATTGCTGAGGCTGGCTTTGAGCTTGCAATCCTCCTGTCTCGGCCTCCAGAGCTGCTGCAATCACAAGCATGCACCATTGTGTTTGGCCCAGATATTAGTATTTTCAGACTGCCGTTGACATTGGTAACTGAAATCATGGCCAATGAAACTGTGGGTGTTGTTTACATTCTTCTCACTATACCTGAACCCTCTTTTCAATGGATTCACCTCACACTGCATTTCAAAGGGTTTTCCATATGCTATATTCTCAAAACTTCTCATTAAAAGACTCTTCTTATGTCAAGGAACCTAGGAAGGCAGAAGGTGCTGAGGTCCTTGATTTCAGCCACTGTCATTGACAAAGCTGCCTTCTCCAGCTCTCAGCTGGAGTAACGGTGCTCTGAGCCCCACCCCACCCCCCACATGGGCTTATCACCAGGATTTCCTGTG